CACTGAATCAAAGGCTTTACAGAAGTCTATGTAGATTGCGTCTATTGCTTTGCCCTGGTCGAGTTGTGTCGTCCATATGTTTTTGTAGTGTAAGAGTTGCAGATTACAGGATAGTTTTTTTCTGAAACCAAATTGTTTATTGGAGAGTAGGTTGTTTGTCTCTAAGTGGAGGATGATGGATTGGTTAATAATTGATTCCATGACTTTACAGGTGATGCAGCATAAGGAGATTGGTCTGTAATTTTCAACTAGGCTTGGGTCTCCCTTTTTGAAGATGGGGATGACTGTGGCTTGTGACCATAGGTTAGGCAAGGAGCTGGTCCTGAAAATTTTTTCAAAGATTATGCTTAGAGGTTTGGCTATGGCAGTGGATAGCTTTTTAAAGAAGTAGGCACATATTCCATCCGGTCCAATAGATAGAGATGGTTTTAGATTGCGTAGTGCTTTTTCAACATTGTCTTCTGTAAAATCGATATGTATTAGATCATTGTTGTTATCTGTGGTACGGCTAGGAAATACTGGGCATGATCCATTGCTGTTTACAAATACTGAGCCGAAGAATGTGTTAAAGATGTTGGCTTTAATGGTGTCGTCGTTGCAGACTTTACCATCAGGACCTATCAGGGGTGGGATGGACCTTGAGTCTTTTAGTTTGTTGTTTACAAAAAGCACGGGTGGAATTGGTGCTTAGAAGGTTTTCCTCTTGTTTAATGTGATAATTGGTGCATTCGGTCTTTATCTGGTGGCATAAATTTTTGTATCGGCTTTTGAAATTGGCAACGTGACCAGATTTGTTTTTCCGCCAGAGTGATCTCTTTTTGGATTGAAGTTTCCTTATTGTTATGGGTAATCTGCTTTTTTGTTTTGTTTTGGGAGTTGTTGTTGGTACATATAGTTTGATGACTCTTTTGACTTCAAGTAAAAATATGTTGTAATGGTCTTCAACAGTATTGCATCCAGTGAATAGAAATTGCCAATCAAGGGATGAGAGATCGTTGTCTATAAGATCATAGTTGCCTTTTTTGAAGTTACAATTGGGGATTACATCGTTGTGGTGATTTTTGTGTGGGCGTATGTTGAGACAAAAGTCAATCATATTGTGGTCACTGCTGGAAAAGGGTTCTTTAGTTTGTATTCCGTAAATTAAATTCAAACTATTGCAGAAGATGAGATCGAGGCAGTTGTTTAGTCTAGTGTTGTTGGTTACTAGTTGTTCCAGTCCCAGATTTGTAATAGCATTGTAGAAGGTTGTGTGTATGATTTCAGTTGTACAATCATTTAGGGTCCAGTCAATATGAGGTAGATTGAAATCACCAAGAAAGATAAAAGGGTATGGGCAGGATGCAGCCCATGTTAGTAATGTATTTAGCTTGTTTACATGTTCGATGTCATAATCAGGTGCTCTGTAACATAGTAAGAATCGAATTGTGATATTTAAGGATAGTTCACAGATGATGGTCTCAGGAAGAGCAAGCTCCTGGGTAACTTGGATATTTTTTAGATGTAAGGACTTTTTATAGAAGATAGCAACACCACCTCCTCTACGAATTTCACGATCTGATCGGTAAACATGATAGTCTCTTACTGTGGTAATGGAGTCAGGGAGAGATGCATTGAGCCATGTTTCACAGACAAATATAATGTCGAATTTAGCCATATTTAGTAGGAGGAAAAATTCAGGTATTTTATTCACGAGGTTTTTTGCATTGAGTAGTTTGCATTTAAGGCCAGCAGTAGTTGGAATTGAGGTAGTTAGAGGCGTGCATGCCTAGTCTTGGGTGATGGTGGATCGGTTGAGGTAGGGTTGTGGTTGAGGGTTAAAGCTGAGTTGCGGGTTGTGTTGCTTACTTTTGATACAGTCAGCATGGTAGTCAATGTACAGGTCCTTCTCTCCATTGTCTAGACGTTTTTTGAGTTCAGTGCGGAGTACACGGGAGCGGGCACGTTGCTGTATGGTTAGGTCAGGGCGACAACGGAGGTTCTTATGGTTGGTGTTGGTTTTGGCGAGTGAATTATAGTGTAAATGAATTTACGTTTGCTTGATTCATTTTTGCAAATGACTCTGCACAAGCATGGGGCCACAGAGCCGTCTCTGTTTTTGAGCTCTCGGCCAATGCGGGAAATGTCAAGTATTTCATCAGCGGAGATGGTTGATGCTTGATAATCACTGATGATGTTTCGGACAGTTGTGATGTCATCATTGTCATTGATGTCCTCTAGACCAAATAAGATGGCGTTTGGACGTTTCCGTTCACGCTCAACAGCTTCTCTGATGAGGATTGGGATATCAATATTTGTCTGGGTTGTGTTTTTTTTGTGGATTGGGTTTTGGATTGGGTTGTGGTTGTTGGGTAGAGATGTGGTTTGTAGCTATTGGATGTTCAGGTTTTTGCGTTGTGTCTTTTTTTTCAAGGTTGGATATTCTTTCTTTTACGGCGTCCAGGGATGCTACTATGGTGTTAAGGGATGTTTCAATGGTATCAACTCTTTCCAACAGATCCAGTTTGGGTTTGCATGATTTGCAGAGATATGAAAACTCATTGGATGATTCCAGGTATTGAATAAATTGCTTGGTTAATCCCAAGCAGTCATGATGAGCGTATTTGTTACACAGAGAACATTTGATGGAGTTTTCATTATCCTTTAGATTTTTGTAGCATTTAAGGCATGTGCAGGAGTCTTGTGGTTCATTGGTGGGGATTATCTTCTCTTTAGGTTGTGGTTTGGCATTGGATTTTTTTTTTTGGCATGGTAGGTTTGTTAAGATAGTACGTTGATTGAATTAATTAAAGGAACAATTTTGGGTAATCTGTATAGCCAATATCACACCAATCAATCAATTGCAGTAATCTCTCTAGTCAGATAATATTCCTGAGCAACAATCAGCCTAATCAATTAATTACTCTAATCACTAATCAATTAATTACACTAATCATTAATCACACTGTTCATTTAATTTCACTAAATCATTGATTTTACTATTCAATTAAATTACATGAATCTTGATCTTTTAAACTAGTCAGTAATCACACTATTTGCACTAAACACTCTAATCACACTAATCAATTAAAACAATAAATCAATTAAACCATTAATAAAATATTTTATAGAAATTGATTATCTAATCATTGATATAGGTGATGAGGTAGAATATTATATGAAGATGTCCTGCTTAGTTGAAGATGTATCTCTTCAGTTACTAATATTAATACATATTACCAAAATCCATTTGGATTATGGCTGTGATGTTATTCTTTTGGAGCTCAATCCAGAGATGGTATTCAGCAGGTTTTGACCAGTTCTGGAGTGGAAATTTTAAGTTGTTCGGAGAACCTGCAAATCCCACCTCTGACTGGAGATTTTACAGTATCCTTCCCCTGCCACACCCACCAAGCCATGCCCACAGAACCGGTAATAAAAAATTTTGAATCCCACCGCTGGCTCAATCTACTTAGATTTTGGGCTCTGCAGCAAACTTCAGAATGATAACATTGATCTTAAAATATATCTTTCCTATGACCAAGGCTACTGCTGTTAAGATGATAAGAGTGCTGAGTTACAAAGTTGGAATCTGTATGGTGTACCATCTGATTTATCCCCAGATTTTGTCTCTGGACAAATGTTGTTCCCTGTTCATATTAGAGGACTTCACTCTTCATGTACTGTAGGTGGGATCAGAGAATCATGATTTCCACTGCATGAATCAGGGGCTTGTCTCAGATCATCTCTGCCTCACGCACATGACAACATAGATTAGATGTTAATTTTGTCCCATAAACAACTTTGTGTGCTGTTATACAATGCCTTACACTTTAGTCCAGGGGTCTTCAAACTTGACAGCTTTAAGACTTGTGGACTTCAACTCCCAGAATTCCTTCTCCAGTCATGTTATCTCAAGAATTCTGGGAGTTGAAGTCCACAAGTCTTAAACTTGCCAAGGTTGGAGACCTTTGCTTTAGTCCCTTGCTGTGACCTCATGCATCTTATTTTAGATGGGATTGATTGCCACCCAGGACTTTTCTGAAGAAGTCCACAGTAACTGATGGATCTGGAAGGAATTTGAAAAGTGTTTGGGGAGTTTTCCCAATATCTGGTGATTAGATAATTTGATTTAGGTTTGATTTTGGTAATTAACTTCTGGTAACAGGAAGTGGCTTGGAAGCTTGATGTTCTGAAGTGGATTTTTTTTTCTATTGATACATCTTAAGGAGCTCTGAGGAGCACTGGGGACAAAGTAGCAGACATTATTATTATTAGTAATAGTAGTACTGGACATTTTAATGTTGTATATTGCATGTATGTTTGTTATTGTTGGAATCCTTGGAAATTACAGCAGCATGCAAATGTAATTAAGATGTATTATCTAAGATAAAGCTTTTTTTCTGTTTTCTTTTCATAGATTTGAAAAGAAATGATTATGCATCTGGGAGGATCAATCCAGCTTTTGAAATTGAAACTGAAATACCAATGGTAGCAGCAGATGAGGCTACAAGCAATAGGAACGATGAACCACTGGAATATTATACTCGGCTGTGAAGCAAGAGCTGCTAATTTTAGCATTAGAATTTTTTTTCCCTAAAGGGCCAACTCCTAGGAGCCCCGCTACCTCCAATGTCTGTACTGTTCTAGAATAAAGAAATAAATACCATTAATGTGAAAGTGTTTTCAAATGAATTCTTTCTAAAATAAGGAATCTCCTCTGTTTTTAAAGGATATTCACCAAAGTCACTGGAGTAATTGAAAATATGCCAGTGCTCCAATTTATGAATGTTTAAAAGTGTCACTTAAAATAAGAAAAGTTCCAATGGTTTTGAGAAATTGGAAGATTTCCTAGAAACAAATTCAAAGAAATCCTCCAGATGGCAACCAGAAATATTCAGTCCTGGTCAAAGGTGGTCAAACATGTTGACAAAATGGCCAGATAAAAATTGAGGGTCCAATTTTCCAAGAAAAGGCGTTCCAAAGTCCAGGAGCTATATCAGAAAAGGTCACCTGCATTTATATTTTATGAATGTTTTTTTCATCTTTTTACTTTAATGGAGTATCCTATAATTATGGCTGGAAATTTTAAGAAAGTTTTGAGTGTTTGGGCTGACCATGGCTTTACTTCAAAAGTAAGTTCTGATCACATACATGGAAAATATTTATTAAATTAAATCTGGTGGCTATCTGTTAACGTTTGAACTCATTCCAATAAGAATGTACTTACCCCCCAGTTTCCCATCAGACCTGTTCCTAATATTTTTTGTATCTAGATTTTCATTGTTTATGTGTGTATCTATGTAAATAAACCAGTTCTTGCATAAATGTGTTGTAAGTTACTTGGGATTTGATAAAACTTTAAATTAGGATGAGTGAAAAACAATATCCATATCCATACCTAACTTGGAATTACAAGGTACAGGATCTTATTACAAGTCAGATTTATGATTTAAGTTAATTTCCTGTTTTTTATCAAATTCTCAGGGCTTCAGTCATAAATTATCCCTACAGACACAAAGCAGACTGAACAAAGATCTTTTCTCACAAAATCACGTGAACTTCCCACTGAGGTACAGCCCTTCCCAACAACAACAACAACAACAAAAAGAATGGAATGTTAGTACTTAAATAGTATGAGGTATTTCAGACAGAGCACAAGCTCTGAATGAGGCTGCACCATGTTGCCCTAAAATAAAATTATAAGAAGAAAGATAGCTAAATCTCCTACATGAATGTATCTGATAGATGTTTTCCTGTTTTTATGAGGGTTGCAGTAACTTAAAAAAAGAAGTAGAAATGCACCATAAACATACAGTGTGTTATGCAAATGTAACACTTGTCAATATTGTCAACATTTATCAGACATGCCTTGTTACCTGAAGAGCTAGTATAATTTAGCTCTTAGAATGATCCTTTAATTTCACTTGAGTCCTCCAGCTTTTAGGAATCTATGCAAGGAAAGAAAATATCAATCAAAGAATACATCTGTCTCCTGTGGAAATTGTACATTTTGTGGTCACTTTATTACTTTAGGTTCAACTCAACAGCAGGCAGATAAACAACCATGAAGTAACTCTTTACATAAGTAGCCTTTTAATCTTAATATGCACTGCACTACTTTACGCAATATTTAAACTTTGTGCAATTTCTCTCTCTCTCTCTCTCCCTCCCTCCTCCCTCCCTCCCTATCTTTGTCTCTCTCTGTGTGTGTCTCCCTCTCCCTCCCTTCCCCCCTCCCCCTCCCTCCTCCCTCCCCCCTCTCTTTCTCTCTGTAGGTGTTTTAGGAGAGATGAGAAATAGAAATATTTAACATGAACTGCCATCATTGCATGAAAATAAATACATTATGTGGAAGTGACTATCTTTATAATCTGTGTGCTCAAAGACAAAACAAAAACAAATTGGCAATTCAATGCTTTAGGAAAGAGGAGAGATATTTGGGTAGGATGAGGGATTGTTTGCATCCCCTGACATTTTCAAGCATTTTTACCATTATTACCATTATTGAAATCACTACAGCTTGCTTTTAATACCATAGTTTTGTTGCCAGATATATAACCTTCTGGATAACTTTTTATCCTGATTTTAATATCCATCTGTCTCTTATCTCTCATTTGTCTGTCCGTCTGTCCATCCGCTGATCCCTCCCTCCCTTCCTTCCTCCATCCATCATGCTTTGTTTGCATTTCTTGTTACAAATACATGCCAGGAAGATCCCCTTAGCACTACTGAAAAACTGCCTCCTGTGGAAATTGTACATTTTGTGGTCACTTTATTACTTTAGGTTCAACTCAACAGCAGGCAGATAAACAACCATGAAGTAACTCTTTACATAAGTAGCCTTTTAATCTTAATATGCACTGCACTACGGGCCCCATGGAGATTTTTAATTCATTGCTTGCATTGCTGGGTGATCATAAATGCTACAAATTGTAGTCATGTCAACAGCAAACACTGACATAGTGGAGATGTTACAGTTGATGTGCTTAAATTCAAACCTTCCTTTAATCTAAGAGCAGGAATAACTCTTTGATTTCCAGGATTTGATATGGCTCCTATGATGGATCTACCACAGCGATTCTGGATTCAGTTGCTTATATTTCATACAGGAGCCAGAGTGTTCTAGTCCATATTATTAGTACTGTTATTTCTTCGGAATCATGATAATAAATGAGATTTTTCTGGTGGAAGGTCAGAAACTGTCTCAACCTTGGCCTAGGTGTGATGCTAGGTGGAGTATGGCACAAGGCCAATCTTTGAAGACTTTTTGATGCAGTTGGCTGTATCTGAAGGGCCACCTGCTAGCAATAGTCGAAATTAGGTGATTAGCAGAGGCTGCAGAAACAATGCTGAACTGGTCAGAGAACTCAGATGCCAGTTGAACCTCTCACCTGAAATGGCAGGACAAGTACAGAAGTATAATGTTCCATTAGCACTGAGTTCTCCAAACTTAGCAATTTAGCTGGCTGGAGAATTCTGGGAATTGAAGTCCACAAGTCTTAAAGTTGCCAAGGGTGGGGACCCCTGCATTAGCATAAGAGAAGGCAACATTAAAAGCTATTGGCTTGCCATATCAAGCATATTGAGAACTGAGGAATGAATAAAATCCAAAGGAGGATTAACCTTGCCACTCTAACGAAGTCTTATTGGTACAGCTAAAGAAAATAATAAAACTTTCCGGCTACCCACTCAAATTAACATCAGCATTCTCTTCATACCAGTCAACTTTCATCTACTATATCTACAAATGAATAATAATAATAGCAACTGGAGCATCACTTGAACGCCCATTGGCATTGACAAATTCACCACCAGTCTATTGCAAAAGATGGCTTTACTGGGAGCAGCTTCCATCCTGCGACGATATCTGTAACATCATAACCTATTGACAATTTGACAAAAGCGTCTGTCCAGTTTCTTTTTAAAAATCTCCAGTGATGAAGCACTCACAACTTCTGGGAGTTCCACACATCTTAAAGTTGAAACATTGCCCTACATTATGCTGCCTTTATTTACTCCAGAATTGGTTTATGCACCACAATTGAAGTAATGCCTAAAACAGAAGAGAGGAAGTTTGAATCTTTGAAGTTCAGAACTGCAAATATTGAGTTACACCACTACTTGCAAAGTGCTCTTCTCTTTCTTCCTAGGCAGCACTTCTTCCATTTTGATAATCAGAATCACCAGTAGAAGCTTGACTGATTTATTATTGAGACCGCTTATCAGCCTCTTGTGAAAGAGTCAGTATCTCTTTAATAACAATGGCAATGTTTGTCTAACTCCTTTCAACAATGGCCACATGATAACAGCCACAAAATTATTCCATCATGGCTCCATGTTAGCATTTCAAAGCAAAAGTTATATAAAAATTTATATTTTTGCATTCAAGAAACCTTGAATGGTTTTTGCATGTTTTCCTCGCGTATCCATATTTTTGCAAATGATTTCTTCTTAGCTGGGTTGCCCTTAATAGACTTTTTAAAATCCCTTTTTCTCTAATGTACTTTTAAAAAAAATCAGAGAATGGCTTATAAAATTCAAGGAACTGTAAAATTCTGAGAAGTGCAAAGGCCAATTGTATCTCAGTTAATTTGGAAAGTGTGACTTAGGTCAGTTCTTATTAAAACACAAACCTTTTCTGGCCTTGTTTTTAATATGAATGCCTTGAGATCACAATCCTTCCCCGACATATGAATACCGATGTTCCTCCACATGCCAGTTTCCCCAAACCAAACCAAAAGAATGAAATTGATTCTTGGCATTGAAGAATTCCAAAATAAACTCACCTTGTAATGAATAAACAATTAAAGGAGATAATCAGGATAGTCAACCAGCCTGCAGGAACGTTCAAGGAGCTCACTTCCATTCCCAGCCACGTTAATCAGGCTCAGGCTATTTTCCCTATTGCTGCAAATCACCAGAGTTTTCAACTAACAAGAATGGGTTGCCCTACTTAATCTGACAACCCCCGTAAGAGAGGCACTTAGCATAAAATTACCATCATTACATCCCCAGGTTAAAGGCAATGAAACTCCAGGAATGGCAAAGTCAAATCAGTTCAATTGTCTGATTGTTCACGCTCACCAAGTAGGAAGGCCGGCAGGGTTCCGGCATAAAACTTTGGGGTTTTATCAAAGAGCTCCTTTAAGGTAATTCATTGCCCTCTGCAGTCACTTTAAATCAGACAGAATGGAAGGGTCACAACGAACGTGGCTCTCTCTGTTCTTGGAAAGCTGTGGAGCAGATAACCAGCTGCTAGGCCAGATGTCAAAGGTGCATTTGGAGCATTTGCTTTGGATCCAGCCTGCTCCGGAGAAGCCTTGTGGAGTTGGCTCAAAGTCCTCCAAATAATAAAAGATGGTGATTAATGAAGCAGCACAGACTCCTGTTCCTTCTCCCAGGCGCTTCCTCGTCCACAAAGCAGTTCTTTTACTTACCAGCAGGGACATGTAAAAATGTTAATCATCAATCTGTGGGCCATTAACGAAGTTGCTTTCCCACTCACAACTTGGAAAAAAAAAACCAGGGGGAGAAACGATAATAGGTTTGCTTAACAGAGCTCTTCAGATAATGGAAAATGTGCAGAGGGAACCCTGGTGGAGTCAACGAGGGAGGAGGGCACATTTATCCAGCTTTCCCAGAGGATCTGGTAATTCAAAACTCTGGGCCTTGAAACTCAAGTCGAAGATTCAGTTCCATCCATTTGGGTCACTTAATAAAACCCTGGAATTTCTACCCATGGAATAGAGAGAATTATATCGGTGCCATCTGGGATTAACTGGCAACCCTTATGGTTGCTACTTGGCTTTATAGGTGTCATCTCTTTATATGGAGTCCATATAACTTTCTAAGCAGCAGCAGTCCTCTGGTTAGCTTAGCTGCTAAAGTTCTTCAGCTGAAGATGAGAGGCATGAAAACATTGGACATGTATAGGACCAAGTATGATCTTTGGTTTCTCTCACTCAGTTGAGGACCTGAAATAACAAAGATGCAGCTTTATAGCACAATAGCCCTTTCCCACTTCTTTTGTTTTCATAAGCTCCCTCAGGATTTTCACAGCCCTCTCCTCGTTTTAATTGTAGGGTAATTCAACCAGTCGTCGTTTTCTCCTGATAGCAGAAAAGGAATAGCTTCAGGATGGAAGAATCCAATGAAATGGAATTGTCTAAAGGTCAATTTCATGACCCAGGTCATGATCTTACTCTCTTAATGTGATCTTTGACCTACAACGTATCTTGTGACACTGGGATGCTGTCATATATAGGTTTATAAACTCTTGGTTTATTTGTCTTTTATAATTTGTGCAA